TTCTGTTTTATTTGTAACTCTATGAATGATGACATCAACACAAAGATATCTGGATTGAATGTGTCCTGTTTTCAGTAGATGCAAGTCTTAAATGTAGGCCAAGTAAAGCTTAATTTATAGATTCAAAACCAATAAATTATTTGAGATGTGCTGGTACTTTACTGCAATCACTGAGATTCAGGATTTCTTCGCGTCCAGGAGCTGAGTGCACGTTCATTTCTTTATCTGTTTTTGGGTTTAAAATGTTTGCCACAGAATCTGCTGATTGTGGAGGCTAGAATGATCAAAGCTGAGATTTGAAAGGAATTAATGACCTTTGTTTCAAAGAGGATAAAGAGTTTTTGATGATAGTTTGTTGGAAAGTTGCTTCCAAGCACTTTGCAACTCAAAGTGGCATTTGAAAGTCAACTGCCCATACAGAAGTGCTAAACGGGGTTCTTCCAGGCAAAATTGCACAGCTGACTAATCTACCCTTAAGAGAGATGTGTTATGTCCAGCGCGCTTGAAGCTACTGAGACTCACACTATAAATAATGTAGTGAACAATGTCCTGGAGCTTGATGATCATTGCTACATGAAAACAGTTGGTTTTAATAGTAAAAGGTAATCTTAAGGGTTTATGTGCTCTCAAGAAGCTCAAACTAGTGGTGTGGAACGGGATCTTGTAGTAAAAATTTGTACCAAGTCAGAAATTAAAAGTTAGAGTATATCTTATCAGAATGTTTTGTGTATAATAATCATAAGATTTCTGCATCAAATTATTTATTGTGAACTTTTGGGAGTGTGGAAGATTTGTTAAAAGGGACCTGGATAGGTCATCTAGTCTGAGCTCATGCTCAGTGCAGGACTATGGTCAGCGTTGGGTCAGCTCAGTTGTGGTTTTGTCTGGCTGAATCCTGAGAGCCTTCAGTACTGGAAATTCCATGGCAATCCAGATTAACCTGTTCCAGGGCTACATTAATGCTAATCAAGAGGCTGTATCTAATGTTCAGACTGAACCTTCAGAAGTGATAACTGGTCCAAGTGACTTATGTGAGTGGCATCCAGTGAACTGTTTGCTCACAAAATACATTAATAAAATCGTGGAATGGTTTGGGTTGGAAGAGACCTTAAAGATCATCTAGTTCCAACCCACTTGTGATGTGCAGGAACACCCTCCACTAGACGAGATTGCTCAAGGCCTTGAACACTTCCAAGAATGGGGAATCCTCAACTTCTCTTAGCTAGACTTGTAAAGATGTATGTTAGAATTGAAAGATGCTTCCAAATGCTTGTTTCAGAAGCTCAAACCAAGTGTGAATATAGTTATGGAACAGCCTCTTGCCTTAGATAGAAAATGTTTTCTAATAAACAAATATTATGATTTGAGAAGGTATATATTAAATTTGCTATTCTTTGAAGTTACAGTAATAAAAAGTGAACTTTTCCTGTCATCATGTAAACATTGCTTAACTTTTGGATTTTGTATTATCAATCTCAGTTTAGTTGTTTTGAGCTAATTTGTAGAAGGTCATTGGGTAAGATATCACAGGAGCTTGATCAAAGGAGCCTGTAAGGAAGTGTAATGTAGTATGACTGTCAGTCGTGATGACAAACATGCTGTTTATGGACAGTATCATAATCACTGTAGATTTGATTATACTTATAGAGTACCAAATATTATATTTTAATATAATTCCTTCTTCTCTTACCACTTATGGATCACTACATATGGTATCTTAAAACTCCTGGAGTATGGCCACTGTTCTGCTTTTGAATGGTTCACTTCTGAAGGCCTCGTGATGTTTCTACTGTTTTATCACTAGGAAAAATCATTTATTGTTAAGCTACAACTCCATGTTTGCTATATCATGCATAATAATAAAAATACCATAATAAATACTGTAACTATTGGTAAGAATAGAACTATAGCCATGCTTGGTCCTTGCAGCTTTCCTAAAAAGAAGCATGTTTCAGCTTAAACCTAGTGCAAGATTTTTGTGTTGGTTTATCAGAAGAAACACAGCGGTTGGAGCTGCTGTTCTTTTTACAAATACCTGTAATGTGTTCTGTCTTTTCTAGATGCTAACATTTAGGCTATATCTACATAACATGAGGCACTGTCCCTGTAGAACTTTGAATGAGGGTGCTTAGACAACCAAATGGTTAGAGATGCATCATAGCAGATAGTGCTTGGGATTAATATTCCTGTTGAGAACCAGAAGGTATATTCAGAGGAGTGCTGTGCTGATTTCAGTTTCTTGTTCTGCAGATAAGCTCTAAACTCCTCTTTCTCCTAAATAACATGTAAAATGTATTTCTTTTCCACATCAACCATGAATCTACATATTTTTCTAAAAATTTCCCTGGATCTTTCAATGAGAATCTGATCCAACAAAAGAATGCTTAAGTAGGAGTCCAGCTTAGCCCAGGAGATCACCAAGTTTAAAAGCTGCTTTTGTGTCACTTTTAAATAAGAGAAAAATTGGCAAATTTTCGTATTTTTTTTCCTGCTGTGAATAAGGCCCTCTGGGTGTAGTTTTTTTTTTTTTTTGTTTGAGTGGAGTGTTGTTCTGTTCTTTTTCATAAAAGCAGTGGGAGTGTATGGGCCAGGAATGTTCTTTCTACTGATGAGGGAATCCTTACTGGCTTTATTTTGCACAAGTGATAAATTATTTGATATTATGAGATGCAATAGTGAGTAAACCTTTACTTGTACTTGCACTAAATACAGTAGCTGGATCAGCTGTATGTGCAGATGGGGCTGCCAAAGGTTACTTCTCTCTGCCATGCCCAGACGTTTATGCATTTAAAATACTGAAATGTATTTTTAATAAAACAAATCCTAGTGAAGTTATAAAACCATTATGTATTACTTTCAAGATGATATGTTATTGTTAGTAGTGTTCTGGAAATGGTGTTGGTAGCAATATGAAAATTAAGATAAAACAGACCTTTCTGATGGGTGCAAAAAATGCTCTTATTAAAATTTAATTTTTAAAAGCAAATACATTCTTATAACTGCTGACTTTGCTTGAGCTAAATCATATTAACACAGATGTTCTGTGTTCATGTAAAACTCCTTCTTAATGCAGTGTTAGGACTGAAAATGAACTTTGGACAATCTAGTGCTAAGATGAAAGACACATCTACTCCTCACAGTATGCTTCTCCATAACTTTAGAAATTCACAAACAATAACATGTTCTTGCAATTATAACTAATTCAATGTTATCTTTCAAACTTGATTTAACTTACATTTAATGGAAGTCACAAAATGAATATTTATCACTTTCAAGGAAAAGAGCCTTCAACTGGAGTGTTGTGTAGGAAAATGTGTACTCTAAAACCAAATTGTGTTATTAGTAATGAAGTAGACTCCACTGTAAAGTCTTTCATGCATCACATGAGCACGGATGCTTTGATTTATTTGGTTTTATTGGTAATCAAAGAGCACAGTTGAGGTTTGTTTTGCTTGTAATAAAACCCTTTGGATGTGTTCATTCAAGGCTTCTCTTTATTCTTTGAGTCTTAGACTTTGATATTCAGACACACTTTTAATATCCTGAATGTTCCTGTCTGGAGCCTGGCAGCTGTGGTTCAACCCATGTGAGCCTTGGCTGCTGGACAGGCTTTGTCCAACGGCAAGCTGGAGAAGTGTAATGTACTGTGGGTAGCTGGAAACATTTCTTTTGACTTTACAATCCAAATTTACATGTCTTGACAGCTTAATATTTGTTAGCCAGCAGATTGCTGCTTCTCAAAATGCAAGCAAATATTTTGGATGGGTAAACAGCAGTATGTTCGGTGTAAGACCACTGTACCCTGAAAATTTGTTTAAGTTTTTAGGTATGTATTGAAGCAGACTTCAGCATAGTGGCAATGAGGGTAGCACTGAGTAGAAGGAGTTCATTGCTTCACGTGCTCACTTGATAGAAAATTGGGACTTAGTGAAGCTGCTGCATTGATTTAGAGCATTTGATTCTTGCCTATGTCTTTCACTTAAATATCTGTAAAAAACAGATCCATGTTTGTTTGCAGCACTTTCCTCTGTAAAAAGACATGCTTTTCTTCTCCCTGTGTTTTTAGGCTTGCTTGCATGGAAGGTTTCATTTTAAAAAAAATAAATGTTGAAACCAGACAAAGACTATTGTAAGATGCAGGTTGGTTTAGAACTTTATACTGTGGAAATAAAGAAGCGAGGGAACAGTTTCAAAGTCTGAACCTGAATATAGACTGAAATTAATAGTTCCTTTTTATGGTCTAATGATTTCTGTGTAATCAAATTTGGAGATGCTCAAAATAACCCCCCTAAGATTAGGTTCTGTATCATCAGGGTTATACTTACATAATTATTATTCTGTAAGGAAAAAGCATTCACTTCAAAATGAGAATGAGTTAATGTATTACTGAAGCTTCCTGAAGTGCATGTCTTACTCAGTTACGGTAAATTCATTTTATGTTTGAACATTTAATCCATCTAAATAACTTTTGATAGTGTTCCAGAAGTTAGCAAGAAATCAAAAGAATATTTTTTTTGTTTGCTTTGAGCTGATTTGCAATAAGTGATATTAAAAAGAAAGGGAAGAAATATAAGTTTGTGTAACTTTTGCTGATTGCCACCATTACTGTGATAACTTTCATAGGTGATCAAAGTGATCTACTTCTGCAAATTCAGAATAAGATTTCACTTGTGTAAACTAAAAAACATTTCTCAAAGGACCTTTGGTTGTCAGCCCTACCAGAAGGAAAAGAAGAGATGCAAATCTGGAAGAGAAGTGTGGTATATTGATGGGCTGGAAAGTAGTGAAATCTTTTGTTTAAAAGAAAAAAAAAGCACACAACAACCTGTGTAAATATTCCTGAGTAATAAATTAACTGGAAGAAATCTGGGTGATTTCTTGGAGTTACTTCTTGCTACAGCAATCATACTTTTGTGTTGTACTGTGCCAATTGAGGTTTTTAGTCTCAACATGGGCAGAAATTAATGATAAAATGTTCTCTTTCTTCTTTTTGTTTTCAGAGATTAGAAAATGAAGATTAAACACCTTTATGCTTTGGAACTCCTCATGACCTTGTTGTGTCCCTGTTCTAGTAAAACATACAAACACAGCCTTGAGAGAAAAAGCGATATATATGTTGCTAAGAAATGCACAGGAAAACCACAGGGTGCCAAGTTTGAATGCTCCAATTCTAATTAAGACACTCGTGAAAATCCGGAAACAGCTAAAGATTGTGTCTTTCCATCATTGCCCTTAAATAGAGGCTATTTTTGGGTGTTGTAATCAAGTCATCAAATCTATGTATCTAGAAGAGGGCTGAAATTTGTGCTGTGAAAGTACAAATTCTCAAGAATTACGGTTCTTTGAAGATGCAGTTCTCTACATAGCGTCAGGAGGATCTTTCCAGTCTTTAGAGAACATTGTGGTTGCAAACATTTACATAATTCTTCTTTTTTAAATTTTGTATTATCCTAGAAGAGGAGGTCACAAAGATGAGAGGACAAGGAGCATCTCTCTTATGAGGAAAGGCTGAGAGAATTGGGCCTATTTAGCCTCAAGAAGAGACAACTGAGAGGGGACCTCACCAATGTCTATGAGTATCAGAAAGCAGGGTGGCAAGAGGATGAAGCCAGGCTCTACTCTGTGGTGCCAAGGAATAAGACAAGAGGCAATGGGCAGAAATGGATGCACAGGAAGTTCCACCTGAATATGAGGAAGAACTTTTATGCTGTGTGGGTTACTGCACTGAACAGGTTGCTCAGAGAGGTTGTGGAGTCTCCTTCTCTGGTGACATTCAAGAACCATCTGGATGCAATCCTGTGCCATGTGTTCCAGGATGACCCTGACTGAGCAGGGAGGTTGGACCAGTTTCCAAGGTTCATTCCAACCTTACCCATTCTGTGATTTTGTGAAGAGGAAAGTGAAAACAAAACCAGAAGTAGAACTCCTGTCTTAGATGTGTGTGGTTTTTTTGACGCTTTTTTCCACTTTTGTCTAACTCAGAAGGATGCATCTGCTCAGAGGACTAAACAGGGAAGATTTTAATACCTTTTTTGTAGATAGACTATCAGTTAAGGACCACTTTAGCACAGATGGCTTAATTGTATAAAGGAGCAAAGTGAGCATTCTTAAAATATTTGCCTCTTTTAACATGTTTTGGCTACGACAGTTGTGCAAAGGCTCCTTGGAAAAGGGTAGGTCAATGAATCACCCTGAAATTCCAAATTTAAATTTTGCTAATTCTGTTTGTTATAACTGGCTCATGCTGCTTTTCTGGGCATACACGGGTTATTCTTTTCAGCGTGAGAAGTGATTAGTATTCTGAACTACAACAGCATCTCATTAAAATCATTAGTTATCTTTGAATCTACTGGCAATGCCTTAACAAGTTATGTCTTGCCAACTGTGACTCCGTTTTTGTTATACTGCAGAAAGTTTTGGGCTGGGCAGTTTTTGTTCCTTGTTCAACTCAAGAGAACTGAAGTATTGTAAGATTGCAGGAAAAGTGCTGTAAGAAGTTTGAGCCAATGAAATATTTTCAGCATCTGCATTTCTCTCAACTGTTTCTGATGTGCAGCTGCAGGTTGGGATGCATAGAGTACTAGCTGTTGGGTTTCTGGAGTGCAGGTGTTCATCCACTGCTCCCAACTGTGTGCTTGAGGACCTGTTTCTAATGCCACCTCTTCTAGGGATCATACTTTTGCAGCTTTGCTTAACTGTGGAGAAAATTCTAGTGTAACTAATTGATTTTTTTTCTGGCTGCCAAAATTATTTGTTGTACAAACTATCTCACCATTTGCATAATAACTTTACCATTAGGTATCAGGAAATGAGTAGGTAGATGTTATGTACTTCGGATCTTATATTTTTAAAAGGGATGATGGTTGCAAATGCTGAGGAATTGCCAGCATCTATCTTGTGAAAAGAAAACATGAGTTAAAATAACCAGCACCACCTACAACACATTTTTAAGTTGTTATTTAAAAGCTGTAGGCTACTTATTTCAACATCAATAAGATTATAAAGAAAGACTAAATGAAAGCTAACTTGTAAAGAAAGCAAGCCCTAAAGTCTGATTTCAGAGTGTGATAATGTCTCACATGTGCTGCTCTTTGAAGGAATGTGAAAAAGGTGCTGTACACTTTCAGGAATGTCTAACTCAAAAATTAGAATTCAAGAAGCTGTAGCCTCTTCTTAATTAGATTGCAGCTGTTTGATTTCTTTATGTGCCAAAATGGTCCTTTGATTTACCTGTCAGTTACAGAATCATAGAACAATTTGACTTGAAAAAGAGGTTTGGAGTTTTCTTTGAACCTCATTCAAAACCATGAGGTTGGAGATGCTCAAAACTTGCCTGGAAAATCTGGGTTTTTTCTAGGTTTTCCACAACCTTTCTGGGCAACCTATGCCAATACTTGACCACTGCCATGGTGAAATTTCTGTGCCTAAACAGAATGTCCCTTTTTGTAACTTGCTTGTTTCTGTGCCCTTTGCAGAGTAGTCTGGGTCCATTTTCACAGTATGTTCCCATTGGATAATTGTTATCTACTTGCTTCTCAAATATGAATATATCTATTCAAGGCAGCATATAGGGGGGGAAAAAAAAAGAAAACCCACATAGCTCAAGATAGACCTAAGATGGGCAGCATCTTAGCTTTTTTGCATGAGGGTGTAAAAGGAAAAAATAACTCCTTTGTATAATGAAGTATTCTGCTCCAAAAATGTATCAGAATTGTGCTTCAGGAAGAATTACTAGTAAAATGCAATTCTTCCTATATGAGACAAATGGATGGTCAAGTACATGAAGAACAGTATGACTACATTTAGCCTTGTCTACATTGTGAAAGAAGATGTTTTTACACTTGGATATTTGGCTTTTCCTCACGAGAGAAGTGTTCTGGAGGAGAGTGAAGCTGTGGGCAAGTGCAGGTTGTACAGTGAAGTGGCATGTGACGATCCTCATGTTGGGGGAGACCTGCTGTCTAATTTTATTTTAATAGCATGCTAATCTAGAAACAGCATTTGCTGCACTTGTGTACCCTCTCTGTTTCCAGACCCAAAGGGAGTCAAAATCAATCAGTTAATGTTGCCTGCTGGTGGTTCTGGGCCTCATGCTACCATTAAAGATAGCTGTTTTTTGAAATAGCACAAGGCAGCTTTGTCACAAAGCAGCTGTCCTATTTTAAAATAATTTATTATTAATATTAGGATTTTAAAGAAAATAACACCAGAAAGGTACTTGATTTTAGCATCTTACTGTAAGAATTGTATATGACTGTCATGGTTTGAGAGCCCCAAACTCCAATTCTCGAGTTCAAGCCCCCCTCCCACATCTCAACCCAGTGTGAGATGGGTTTTCCAGACACCACATGAGACTCAAAATGGGGGGAAAGGGATTGTATACTACAATGACTGTACAAATAAATATTACAGTACATTACAGACACAATCTTAACTATCTCTATTATGATAAAGCAGTATTTACAATGGATCAAATCTCTTCTCCCTTCCAAATAAAAGTCCAGGAGGGAAGAAGGAAGAGATCCTTTCTACTTTCAGAGCAGCAATGTCTCTAAGGCAGCAGGCTCTCTTCTTCTATGCAGCAGCTGTAGCTGGATCTCTGCCAGTACACACAAAGGGGTGTCCAAGCCCCTCGGCCACTCGTCTCCAAGTGAGGGTCTTCTCTTCCATTGGCTGTGTTCACCCGGACAAAGGTCACTTCACCACGTCATATCAACGAAGTACAGGAGCCTTCGTGACGGTCTGTATCTTCAAGGGATTCAGGCCCCCTTTGCAGAGCTCCCGTGCTCTGACTCAAAACTGCCAGCTTGGCAGTAGCAGAGGGGGGCGGCCAAGGTCACCCCCTCCACATTCCTTCTTTGAGCTTTTCAGCTCCTTTCTACAGTGCTGTAGCACTCCAAGACTCTTCTCAAGTAAGAGTCCATCATCCTCCTCTCTCTAGGAGGTCTCAGAGGGGCTTGGGGACTTTGTTTCAGTTCTTATCCAAACTCTCTCTCTCTGTAGAGCTTAGTTCTCTCTCTGCTGCTCTCTCTCAGACAACTCTGTGTCTTCCTGCTCGGCTGCATGTTTGTTTGCTGCTTCTTTAGTTCTCATCTCCTTCTGGCTCTCTGCCACCGTTCCTCCATATGCTGTTCCTGCTGCTGCTCACAGTGGAGGAACTTCCCTCGGCTCTTAGCTACAGATACTTAGCCCAGTCTTACACTGTTCCAAGTCCCTGTAGCCCCCCAGCCAGGCTCCTACCCCTTCTCCTTGTGGCTTCACAACATGGCCACCTCTACAACTACTTTCTTTTCCGGTCTGCTTGTGATATGTTTATATTTTGCAAAAGCTCTCATTGGCTCAAACTTCAAGGATCACCACCCCCTGGGGGTTTACCATTTTATAACTTCAGAGGGAAAACTGTTTTCCCCCACCACAATGACCAAACTGATTTTGTGGTTAAAGGGATGTGTTGGTTCTACTGCTATATTTATTCATAGGTAGGGGAAAAAAAAATTGAAGTGTCTGGTAGCCACTGACTTGACCTGGATATAAATAATTAAACATTAATGCTTACGAAAGACAGAACTGTCTTTTAAGTCTTATGTATGGAAGTATTTTTCGTTATTGGTAAGGGCCCCAATATACTTAATTTTAGAATGTACTTAACTGTTTTTCACCGGCGGTGAGGTTTATCTGCTATATGCCATAGGACTGTGGTGTTGTGTTGGAAGTGGAGCTCAAAACAGAGATTTTTACCATCTCTAAACACTGGAAAAAGTGACTGTAATGTTCAAAACATTATATAATGTTTTGTTTAATATTTGAAAATACATGCTTGTAACGTTCTTTGAAAGTACAAGGTTCTGTTTCTTCTTAGACTTGTAAAGAGATATAAAGAAGGAAGTCTAGGATGTTTGAGCTATTATGAAGCCATAAGTGTAATGAACATGTACTGTGTTTCTGTACTGTGAGCTCTATTATAACACTCTTTCTGTTTGCACTTTGAATAATCTCATCTTACGAAACAGATACTGTATGTAAAGTCAGATTTTATCATAACTTAGGACCCTCAGGACTTCTGTGA